GGGTTCCCTGGGGTGTCTGGAGGCCAAAAATAGCGATGAACAGGGAACCCCGTACAACTGGCTTACCTTCCACCGTGGCTGATGGCTCAGCAGCGGGATCCCGCTGCGGGTCGAGGCACCAGGCAGATTGAGAAGCCATCCGGGGTGCAGATGCATCTTCCCAGCCAGGGGAGGTCTAGTCCCGGACATCAAAGGGATGGCCTGAAAAAGAGAGATCTATGCTTGACGACTATGCGAATTGAGTTTGCCCTTAATGAAAGTCCCTAGGACAAATGAAAGGTTTCGGTGCATGTATTCGAGTTCATCCGCTGGCGAAGGTTTAGGCTACAAGTAATACGGCAGCTTATGTCCCGCGTACTACAAAGCTTGCCCTCTGTGCAGAGTGACCAGCCTTTTGTTCACTATGAGTAACAGTAGCTTGGGTGTGTGAACGCGCCTTGTTATGCATCTGCCCGGATTGTTTGTTTGCCAGCAACATTTCAGCGAGAGCGACAGCCACGTAACTGACTACCCACGGCGAAAGCAGAGATTTTCAAGCTCTTTGATATGATCATAGTGCAGGAAGGAAGTTGTCGGGAAATTTGACCCATTCCGAAGTAAATACCCCAATATACAAACTTTATACATAGTGCGTGGAAATATAGTGCAATGAAGGCATAAAAACCCACATTTTCTCGAGCAAGGCCACTTCCTTTGGCGCTGGTAATGACACTGCGTAGCTGGCACGGATATCCGTGCATGAGGAGGCGTCAGGCCAAGCGAACAGAGTTCAGCACTTTGTCTTTGCTTAGAATTACCGGCTTTTAACCAAGGCAATTTGATTTACTCAAGCGTCCGAAATACTTGTGAGTTGAAGTACAGTGGAAGCTGGCTATTAAATCCGATTGGCCAGCGAGGCGGAACTCCTCGACACACAGAAGTAGCTACTCAGAATGCTTATGAATGATATCAGGAGAATCTCTCTTCTCCTTTTACGCCTCTGAAATACTAAGCACTGACTTATTTTTGTTTGCAATTAGGATCTTAGTAAGCGCCATCTAGGACTGCAGTCGCTAGCTCCCCCATGTCAGCCTGAAGATAACTTTACCTGACCAGTAAGAGTTGCTGAAAAGCAGCTTCAAGTACTTGGTGCTTTTGTTTCGCTTCGTAATGACTCCTGAGTTTTGCACTGAGAACGTGCTTATAGGTCAGCTCCAAATGCAACTGACGAGAACCCAAGGGAAACGAGCGCAAGCAACAGTGCAGCAGAGGGGAAAACTGCTGAGGCAAACTAGAAATACTTGATAATGGGATAATTCAACAATTATTGGGCAAACACAAAGAGGGTCGGACCCCACTGAGCAAGCTGGACGACGCATAAGTGTTCGGCGTCAAAGACTTCAGACACCGAGGCTGCCTTGACTGGGAAGCACTGTCACGGACAGCGATTCGTAGTGGCCTACACAGAACAACTCAATACATAAGTCCTACATAAGTCCTACTTTTCATCTGGTAAAGGACTGTAAATGTGGAAAAGGCACCATCCTCTCCCTTTGTAAATCCGCAGCCCTTAGCAGGAAGCCTTGGCTCACCACAATGCTTCTTCTCCTCCTCATCTTGAGCTTGGCGCCACAGACATTGGAATGTTCAGGCCAGGGTACCTCGAAAGTAGAGACAGTGTGCTCTTCTGGGGGTTCAGGGTGTACAGACAGACTAATTGTTGAGCTTGATGTGGACAACCTGGATGTACGGCTGAGCAGCTCCCTGAATCGTCACCGATTCCAGAATCATCATAGGCATAAAACCCCTAAAAACATCGGTAGAGTATACAGTGGGAGGCTCATCTGCCGCTTCATACAAACAGCCCTGCCTGCTCCGCACTTATATCCCCGTAATCACCAGCGGTACTTTGTCGCTGCCCTGCTGTTCTCGGGGTTTTCTCAGAAACTTCAGTTTCAGTGGGAAGCAGGGGATATTAACAATCGGTCCCCCAGAAAAAGCGATGCAGGCAATGCCGGAGTTGTTGTAACTGTACAAAAAACCGCTGTATCTTACTCGTACAATCTTACTTATGTCAAGGTAGACTTCATGCTTTAAGATCCCACAAGATTTTTGAATTAATGTATTAACCCAAGAATGTGCTTGGGATTGACCAGTCACGGCGAGTTTTGGGCTTCTGAATAGAGCGAAGCATTTGCTTCTTGGTCCAACTTACGAGTCATTTGTGCTGAATAAACACATGTGCGCCAATCATTACAAAATTCCTTGTAGGAGATGCTCACACGGGCAATCTTCCTGCTGAGAGTTAATGAGGCGTGTCTGCCTTGTGAACTCTCAGGCAGTGCCATTCAACTGGATAGAGTACGCCCATCGTGCTCTACTATGGCAGGTCAAAGATGGTGGGGAAAACTTCTGTTCGCAGACATGGGGTTCCAAGTGCCAGGATGAGCATGGGGAAAATGGATATCCCATTAGTCCTAATACGGGTCTTCCTGTCGATGGAGCTCAGGGGAAATGTTGCTGGTGTCCTTCCGTCTGGCATCTCTGGCTAAACAACCCTAATAGGGGCAGGGAGCCGATGCTAAAGTGCAACTTTTGGGGTAGGCCAGTGCGGTGGTGAGGATACACGTAGGCATGTGAGTGCTTGAAAGGGGAAGAGGTATAATTTCGTCTGCTCATTTATTGTAGTGGTGATGAGCTTGGTTAGACGAGCCTGGTTAGTGGCTGGGTATGAGGCTCGATACGTGGAACTTTTAAATTTGCACTGCACCGCACCAGCACTTCGTGACATAGCGGTATCTATGGCACTGCCCTGTTGGTGCAGGTAAATAACGTTATTTTGTTCTGTACTGTGAGCCTTTTCCTAGGATTACGATTTGGAAAAATCCCCGATCCCTACCTGACGAAATTTTGCCCCGTTGTTGAATATCCGTGGTATCGTATGCTGAAAGTCAGCGAAAATAGAACATGGTTCTTTAAGATTCTCGTCGGAATATCTTGGTGGAGTAAGTTTATCCCATTTTCCAACTGGGCATGCCTCAGTGGATTTACCCACGCGCCTGCAGTCGGTAGAATAAACGCTAGTTGAAACTTAAAGAGCTTGGTTCATCCACTGCATGCGCAGGGCCACCCAACCCATCAAGCCTCTCAGATGAAGAATATAAAGCAGAGTGTGAGAAAAGAGTTCAGGAAGGGAGCTACCCTCAAAATTTCGATTGCTCGCAGCGGCTTCACACCGAAGCGGGGATGGCGGACGCCATTCTCGAGCTTTCAGATGCCAAAAGTATTGCAAGGGACAGTAAGGCAGCGTAACTCTTCAAATAAAAGGAAAGCCCTTTCCTCTGTCAATCGTGCACGCACATTTTGTTGATTGCGCTTCTCCAGGTTAATGGTTTTTCGCTTCATAGAGAATTACGAGGTGTTAGAAAGGCGTGTGAATGCATGTATGATGTCTAATCAATGCAGCAACCTTTGACGTTACAGCGCGTCTAGTTAGCTCAGAAGTACCGGAATCCCCTGTGAGTTGCATTACCGCGTCTAAGCGACATTTTGTTGTCCTCCTTGGTTGCATGCATCATCTTACTTCTGATAACGCGCCCACAAGTGAGGCAGAACATTCCGCGCCCTTTTAGGATTATGTGAGAACTATGCACTAACAGGAGCCAAATATTAAGGGCAAATACGTTTTCTTACCAACAGCCCCTTCAACAAATGCCTGGGTGCAAGAATCCCTTGTAACGGTAGGCTGAAGTATCTACTTTAGCATTTCCATTATTCTGCATTCGCAGTGAATCTATTTCAGTTTTTTGTTCTTTCTATGGCGTAGAGTTATTCTTCATCAGGAAACCCACGACGGTTGCACTTTTGTGGTAAAGGATGTAAATTGATCTGCAGGAAGGATGCTCAGACTCCGAGGACCTATCACACTGGGGAGTAAGCGAGACAGATAATCCAGATCTTGCTAGACTCTGCAAATCTGGTGAGATGATGATACCGTCTCGGAACAGGGTTTTCATTTTGACGCTACATGGTTTGCGCGGTCTCGAGCAAAGAATGTCAATTCCGATTGTGGCACTTCAAGCTACGGTAATGCTTTACGTGACGAAGTGCTTTTCCAGTTCTTTCTCCCGATGAGCTTTTTAATTTCAGGCTCACCATTTTGTAACCCTAAGAGCTGTCTGAGGCATATGATCGTCCTAGACGAACAACACGTCACAGTGGATGGCAGCACGTGTGATCTCCCGGGAGTTTCACTGCAGCAATGGGGAAGAGACGGCTTTTGTGATTACGCACAAGGAACGTGCTTTGCGAAAAACTTGAAGTGGTTTCATGAATACAACGAACAGGCCGCAGAGCTTGGCAGGACGCCTCTTTACGCTGTAACACACATACACCATAGAAGCACTGCACTGTAGCTACCTTTCAAGAGCATATACTCACAGAAGCAAAAGCATGAACATGTTCAGCGTGAAGTGCTGATACACAGGATAAATTCGCAGGCCTCCAGCACTCCGTTACTTTGCTGCAGCTAGAGTATCCACCTGGTAATTACCCTCGTTATCACGTTGGCTTAGATAACGTGGATGATGCAATTGACACTTCAAAAGCGGGTCCCTTTGAACTGCATCGCTTAGCCTTTGCTTATCCGGATAGTCATAAGAGTAAAGTGCGCATTGAGATGAATGCTGGATTGATTCGCTGGATTCAGTCTACCTCTCCAGGTCAAATAACTAGCATCGCGTAAGCCAGGTTGCCCTGTGTGGAAAGCAGGCAAACACTTCTTCAACCTGCCAGTGCAACTTAAGCAAGTGCAACCATCCTGTTGTACGCCACCCAGAATTTCTTCTGACGCTTGTAACATCGCAGGTAAAGTGAAAGCCAGATGACTGCCCATGGCAAAAGCGACCATCGACAGGCTGAGTGCTATCTGCTTCAGGCCCCCAGCACCACGTGAATGCGATAATGCTCAGACGTTTGGTTGCCCACTAAAAGTGTATGTGCTCAACTCAGGTTAGGCTTCCATGCAGCCTCCATGGCAGGCTCTCTCAACCATATGCGCTATATCGCATCCACATCTTTCACGCACACTATTTCCCCAGGCAAAAGTTTTTCAGCTCTCGAGAACCAAGTACAAAGGCGACTGTTTCCCAAAATGTTACTGCTCTCCAGGCACGATAGATGCGACGTACTATTTGGAGCTACCATACTGCACAGAGCATGGCAGCGAGGAGCCAACAGACAAAGTGAGCGTTTCGCAAACCGTTGCAACGAAGCAGTTATGGAGGGGTAGCGTCCACACTGCATTAGCAACATAATCGCACTACATGTGATATAAGCCGTGGCCAAAGCCTACTCCAACCCGTGACTACCACCAGTGGAATCTCATCATTACTTCGCTGCTTCTTTTCAGTTGGACCCTGTGCCGGCAATTCAGCGTAATGTCCCTGCCGGCGCCAGTCAGGCATTTGACCTAACTCTGCGGCTCACAGCCGTTGTCGAGGAGTTTGACTTCAACTGCATAATGAAGCTCTATGATTCAGAGCTAAACCAACTTGACATAAAATCATTTGACCTCCTGACAGGCAAGGCAGCAGTAAGCGTCTCAACAACCTGTACAACGGCTGGGTACTGGGTAGTGAACTTCGACTTGGCAACACGGCCTGATGATCACACAAAACTAGATATGGTGAATTATTTGGGTAAGCGCGTAGGCATTACTTTGGACTGATATGCAACGGCAAAGGCTCCTTCATCTGCATAGTAATCGCTGTTTGTTCAGGAGTTGCCAGGGGGTGTAACGAATCCTGCAGGAGAGGTCGTAGTCATCGAACCGCCTGAAGTGAGGTGTACGGTGGATAAAAACAACTATGAAAGCTTTCAGGAGCTAGCGCACTTTACAGGATTCCCAGAGTATATCGTCATCAACAATATCTGACTACAACACACTCAGACGTTTGTTTTTATGGAACGTGTTTTTCGGGCGCTTTGGTGACTACGAACTGTCAATGCTGCTTGCTGGCACACAAAGGAAATAAGAGTTCTCGGCTTGCGCTTCAGGACAAACGGAACTGGTATCAAAAGCTAATGAACGTTGTGCCGGATGACGGGGAGTGCGACTGCTCCTTTTGGAATGTCTTGTGCCTTCCAGCCGATTGTGAGAGTCCTTGTTTGCTGAACATATAATCCACCAATGCCTGTCAAAACTAACACCAGATACGCTACTTGCACAATTACCCTTAATAATACAGCTTGAGATGTGCTGGAAGATGTTTCGAATGACACTGAAGGCTACAACAAAGATATGCTCAACCCTCAGAAGAAGGAGATGCTTCATAGTGAATCCGCATGCTGAAAGGCTTTGCTCTGTGAGAAGCTGCGCATAACTTTGCAGGGAGCGACTGCATGGGTTCGCTTAAAAAGGTTCTGAAGACTGTTCTTTTCGCGGGCATTGCCGTTGTAGCTCTCTTTCTTTTATGGCCCATACTAAAGCCTCTTATTAAATTGCTATGCAAGTGCATCCTTATTCCTTTTAAATGCTGCCGGTCAATAGGCAAGCATCGTAAGACGCTACGAAAAGAAAGGAAACAACGAAAAAATGAAGCAAAGAAGCATGCAATGGAGGAGAAAAAACGTAAACAGAAAGCAAGAAAGGAAGGTGCGAAGGCAAGCTATCTTGCAAACTGGGGGCGCAGTAGCGGAGGAAAGCAAAGCAGCGACAGAGGAAACGAAGGAACCGTCTCTTCTTCCGGAGCTGCCGCTTCAGAAAGAGATACTGAAAGCAACAGATGGAAAGAGTCTAACGATGGTGAAAACCGCAGTAACAGCAGTAACTATGATGTCAACAATGAAGAAAGCAGCCTAAGTTCATCCAAAAGAAGCCAGGAATGAGTCACTTAATCTACTGGAGAGACAATATCTGGGCCTAAAAGGGCTACGGGGTGATTTTAACGACATGGCAGAATAAATTACGGGAAAGCGCCACATTGATTTGCCAGCTAATGGCAGTCCGAGATTTCTTGCCAGCTAGTGTGACAGATGTTTTCTCTGCCAATATCATCTAGGCGCGGTCTTCCGAAAGGCCTGGAAAGCCTGAAAAGCCTAAAATTTTTGGAGCACAATGAGCTCGTCAAGTCATGAGCGCTACAGTAGGCTACAATAGTTAGTGATCAGAAATTTCCCGAGCTTGTAGGCAAAAATCCTGACATGTACCAGCAGGGCTTAGAACAGCAGAAGAGAATGCTTGGAAGAAGAGGTCGGAGGAGATCTAAACGAAAGAGTTTCGCAGCATCGCGCGCAACTGAACATAGGAGATAGCAGGTGGTCAGTGTCCGAACTGTGGCAGAACTATCACACGCTAGGCCCGCATCGGTTCTGTTTAACTCAAAGTTGGTTTCATGGTTTTATCTACAAATGTCGTCCTAAGTCGTCGAGATTGTGCCCAGGAAAGCTCATGTTTATCTTCCCCGTGGCGTGCACGCGCTTTCTGACAATAACGCTAACGGGGAAATACGATCCGCAGCAGACAAGATATGTTGAGGATTCAGGGGGTGCACTTTCATGATTTTGTGGTGTTCTGTCAAATAATTAGTCTTCGTTGCTATGAGCGCTACATAATGCAATCGCTTGAGGTTGGCAGATGTCCCACAGGTAAGGTCACTTGTGTATCGCCACCGCAGTTGCTGGCTCACTACATTGCTTGATTTTGACCCAGCAAGGATTTGGCATGTAGAAAAATTAAAAGTCTTAGGGAATAAGCGGCATTATTTTGATAGTACCCTGCAGGCTCCCAGTTCAAGAGAACCGGGGCCGCGGGACATTCGTGCAGCAAGGTGCAGATGACCTAGCATGAGTATTTTCTTTTTAATTCCAGAAAATACAGTGGAAGTGTCTTTAACCTTTCTATCGCAGTTAAAGGCACACAAAATTCGCAATAGACGAAGAGCAGGGACGGCTCACCTTGGACCTGTGCCAGTGCTCGCGGAGCAGGCAGTGGGCAGTGAGCACCTCTCGGATCACCTGTACAAAAAAAACTCCTACAGACGCCCGCTAGGCTCCTCTGTAGGCCTATCGCTTCTAACATGCAGCTCTCTCTGGCAGCGAGGCAGCGCCTCGCCCACTTCTTTGTCTCAGTAGCAGAACTTGAAGGGCAGGTGTGCTCCCACTCACTGCACCAGATACACATTTGGGACACAGAACGCTCCTCAGTATGGCCAGAGAAAGGACCAAAGCTAGTAGTCTGTTATTCCATGCTTTGGTTTGGTCGCCCTACCGGGAACATGAAACTTTTCACAAGGTCCATCTGCTACGGAACTAGCATCTAGCGGCCAAAAGACTGTTGGAAAGCCCATTCTCAAAAACAAATAATATAAGCTCAACCTGATTATGGGCTGGTGGCTCAGGTTGAGGCGCTGCGCGTTGCGCTTGCCCAGCTCCCAACCTTCACATCTCACAAAGCATTTACTACTCTGGATCCCCTCGGGAACGGCTTCCTCACCAGTAAATCATGCTCTTCACTGGGGATTCCATACTAATTAGTAAATCTCGTGAAGTTCTCGCTTAGAGCTCAGGTTTGTGTGGCGTGAGCACATCGGAATTTCGCCATTGCCCAGTGCCCACTACGGTTGTGACCAGGAGTTGTGGCCCTTGTCGCTGCACAACCATGTTTGCTTAAATAGGCGGAGACCTCCAAAGGTACCTAAAGAACCATGGGGTTGCAGTGACGGATTCCGAGGCATATAACCTTCTCAGACGCCTCGACACTAATGCGGATGGGAGGGTCTCCTTCCCTGAGTGAGTTTCCTAGGCTTTTAGAAACAACTATCACCTGCTCGTTTCCACAGCAGTGAATCAGGTTAGCACGATAAGCGTTTAATTAAGAAAACGCTTCACCACAGAATTAGTAAAAAGCACACTTCAGATGCGGTGGACGTTGATGCAGAGCCGCACGCAGTTGATTTGCTGTTGTCTCACAAGGTTCATTGACTTTCTGCTGCCCATGAGTTCGTCGGAAAGAGAGCTCTTACTCAGTCGAGACCAGCGTTTCTTGCGCCGTCCAAGATGCAGCTGTTCCGTTTGTAACTGTTGTTGCTGCTGCTACTCTGCTGACAAGAGGGAACTCGACTACAGCTGGAGCACAGGCGACGTTTGCCTCGCTCAGCTGCTGCAGCGTGAGATCGATGCGCATCGCGTCTTGGAAATTCGGAGGCGAATTCTCTCTGATTCGCCAGACTTTTTGCTGCTTGCCGCCTTCCAATTCGTCGAAGATCCTAGCCTTGCTGCTGTCACTCCACTGTCACTGGCAGAAGCACTTGCGGAGGAAGGCTTCGTCCTGACACAAATGGATCAAAAGCTAATATTTCGCAGACTCGACAGGTCATCATGCCACTGATCTGTGTTGAGCTGCTATCTATCACATTGTCTCTTGCTCCAGTGGCATTAGTGCAAGAGACAGTGTGTGTCGAAAAAAGCACGCTGATTGGTACTCAGCATGCTTGATTTTTCGACAAGTGTGGTGTCCCCTTTGTACTACTCTCGTTCGTTTGTCAGTGCTGCAATCCCTCTCCATATAGTGTCACAGGGGAACAAGATTCACATTAACCAGTCGGATTCGCTGATATGTTTCAGGGACAGTGATGGCCGGATTAAGTACTTGGAGTTTGTAGAGGCGGTGATGCCTTCAAGCTACCCAGAGGCTCGGGTTTCTACCGACCCTTTGCCTGTGGTATGTAGTGTTATTCTCAAATATTTCGTGGTACTTCAGTTGCAGGGGCAAAATGTTTCTACATTTGAGATCTTTGCAAAGTCTTACAAGGTACTGATAGTGTGCGTGGATTGTTTCTTCCAGCTGCAATTACAAACGTTTTCAAACCCTTCACGCTCATCGCTGCTGCTGCTCCTATCTCATTAACTATCAACCCAACATCATCAGCAAACGATACGAGGACAAGGTATGCGTTTGCTTTGAGTTGTGTAGGGAGCTCAGGGATGCATCTGTTCTTTCGGTACCTCACTGTGTGATTGCTATCCAAGCTCGATGGTGCGGAGTAGCAGCAGCAGCCGCCTCCAACGTCACCCGAAATCCAGCGCAGTGCGCAGCAGCAGCTCCAACAGCAGCTCTATGGGCGAACAAACGCTGCCGATACGCAGGGGATACTCATCAACCAGCACGCTGAAAAGCTACCTGTGTGGAGGATGCGGTTACATGGAGAGTAAGGACAGCTTCCAACTGCGCGACAGCAATACAGAAAGGAAAGATTGTTTAATAGCAAGCGAATGCGAAGTGGCAGGAGTTTTAAACTCACAAATCGACACAGAAAGAAGGCTGGAGATCCTGAGAGAGAAGCTGGCCCTGAAGTCTGACTTCAATCTCTTGCAGTTCTGGGGACTCTTTGACAGAGAAGGGAGGGGGTATGCAACAGCCGCGCATGTACAGGAGGCCTTCAATGCTGTTGGATTAAGCATATCTCTCACACAGGCGCGTCTCTTTGCTGGAAAACTAAACAGCGATGCAGAGCCGCGCTTGAGGTACGCTGACATGGCAAAGGCGTTCCTTCCCACAAAGGCGAGGTATGCCGAGGCCATGATTAACCGCACAAGCACAGGCTGTCACAGATGCCCAGCGCCCCTGACGCACCTGGCGCCAGAAACGCTCGAAGTCGTTGCTTCGATATTCGACCTGACTCTTGCGGTAAGCGAGTTATGTCAGCACGCGGCTGTTTAAGCGTTGAAACAGCATAGTGACACGCGAATGGCAAACATGCCGTCAACGAGCCTTGGTGGGATTACGTGCTTTCATGAAGTAAAGCCAGCATGAGCACGGCCACGAGACGTTAAACTTTCGGAAACCGTCGACTATTAGGCCTGCGAAAAGCTGTCAGTTTGCTTGTTGACAACTCAGTCTGAAGAACAAGCCGAGATTTCGAGGCATCGCCTTTGCTTGAAGGATCTGTCTTCAGCATTCCGCAACTTGGACAAGTACAGAGCCCAATGCAAATTGGGAAAGCCCCTATTCATAAGTACCTCCAACTATTTTGTGCCCAAACGTTGTATCAACTTCTTATGCATTTTTTGGCCCAGTATTTTGTTTTTGCAGGAACGGTGACGGATACATCACAGCCGCAGAGTTTTCAGCGTCTCTGACAGCCCATGGCTTCCGCCCCTCGGAGGACGAACTTAAGGCCCTTGTCAACCGCTACGATAAAAATGGAGATAGCAAAGTTTCTTATGCAGAGTTTGTCAACGAGATCGCGCGAACAAGGTGCCCAGTGGGTTGTTGCCGGCTTATTTGCCTCTGCCCCTGAGTCAAAGCAAGAGCGAGCATTTGCTCTGAAGCAGGCAAAACCCTTAATTACAACGGCTTCCTTCCCGCAAGTAACGTTGGTCGTGGGTGCTTCGCACTCGCAAGCCTTTCTCGACCACAAAGGCTTCTCCACAGCGACTAACATGCCGTGACAGTACCGAAAAGCTCACGTTTCGGCAGAAGTACTTCAGATGCGTGAGCATAGTCCGAGGCCTAGCGCATTCTTGTGCCTTTTCATGGTGACTGACACGTCACAACCGTATCAGAAACTTCAACACCCATGTTGGGACGAAATGTCCCTGCATATGCGAGCGTGGTCCGAGCCTCAGCGCACTCAGCCCATACCTCTACGCTTGCGAGTCGGAAAACAGGCTGCTCTTCTGCGTCCCCGTAGTTAGCAGTCCACCCGAACCACGAGATCGGGACTTTAGCGTAGCTCCACATTATGCAAATATTCTTTTTTATATAAATCAGTGTCGAAATACCAAAGGTATAGAATTTGGCCGCATGCCGAGAATATACCTGCTTACCATCATTTTGCATGTGGGATTAACGTCATTTAGAAGCGTTGTTTCTGGTCGGGTGAACCAATGCGGCTCACGGATATTCACTGGGTCAGGTAAAGTTGTAGGCTTTAGAGAGCTTTGATTCCATTGTGCCTGGTTATGGATAGAGCATATCCAAACTACAGATGACAGCACGGCTATTTTGTTGAAATACAGCACGAATTTCGCACACACGAAGCTCATTCAAGGCCCATAGCATAATTACATAATCTACTCAAGCATGTTCACGCTTATTCTCGGGAGGCACACAGGATTGCACTGTGGTGAAGGCAAGCGGTACACTGATGATCATGCTGCATGATACACGGCCGGAAGTGGGATGCAGCTGGACATGTGCTCACTTGTGGTGTTAAAGTGCTCAAAGATACAGTCAGAGGCTGATGAGAAACAGGCGTGTCGTCGTTTTGCCGGACCACGGACGGTGCCGGTCCAGGCTGTGGGCGAAATTGGGCACCTTTGCCCTTTGGGGTCCCCTGGTACCTCAGAGCCAGAAGAAAACGATTCCAGGATCGATTAGACTTGAACTACTGCTTTTGCATTCATACATTGCACAGCGGTTGCATAAACTTCAGGTTCAGCCGTTAAACAATATTGCCCAATGCTGGATAATGCAGCATCAGTCGAACCGTCCGAAAACAAACCATAATATTTCAGCCCGCTTGGATTGCTGCTGTTGGGAATTTTGATTTCTCCATCAGCCAATGTAAACAAAATCATGGTAATATGAAAGGAACTGTAAGTAGCGCGATGCCGTGAACCGCAAATCCTTGTTGGGACGGTCGCACACGTCGGCGAATAAATCCGTCATTTCGACCGAAAGCGGTTTTTTCTTTGACACAGAGAAACAATTTAGGCTATGAAGCACTGCTAGGAACAGCTTACCCTCACGCTACATGATTCGGCTCATCCCAGTCGACATCCCTCACCAGGGTCACTGAGGTCACCGAATGATCTTCTTGAGGACACTCCCTGGAAATGGCCTGAGGGACTTTGAATTTTTTTTAAAGGTACAGAGAGCGTTGAATACCTGAACTATCACTAGTTTCTGCCAAGGCCATTACATTTTTGCGCAGGAAGGTACCGCGCATGGACCGGCGGCGATGTGAGACGCAGTTTGGTGATTCTCGCCCAGTCGCGGCATCTAAAATCAAAGTTTTTGGACAAACGCTGCTTTTTTTCTTGCTGGAAGCGCCGGGAATTCAGCTTAGCAAATTGCACGCGCAGCCAGTTCGTACCGGTACCTCTATAACGTCCGTTCGATTGAAGAGCTCGGCAGGGGCGCGGTCAATCATTTTCTAGCGAAAAGAGCCCTATTAAATTTCATGTCAATTTACTACTAGCTTAGTTATACTGAAAGAGCCATCTTCAGCATTAAAAACGTCCACAGATTTGATAAGCTCGGATAAGTCAAGTAATCGAAGTGTTCGACCACAAAAGCTGCCTTCCTCCTCTAGAAGGAAGCGAGTGTAAGATTTCGAAACTGCATGAGTACTAGAAGTGCCTTTCCCAATGGATGGCATCGAGCCAGTCTCCTCGCATGAGGAGCTTCAACCCACTGTACAAGGTGGCACCAATCAATCATTGAACGCCTCGGAAACAGCTTCGGCTACCGAAGAAAGGTCCGACAATCCAAAGCGAAAATTTGACGGAGAAGCCCAGAAAGGTGGGGAGGGAAATGTGGCAGATGCTGAGTCCAAGGAAACGCCAGCCGGAGCGCTTATTCTCCTTGAACAGCTCCGAGCTAGGCGTCAGGCACGGGACAGTGGGACATGGGATGTCGAAGATGCCGACCTAGAGCATGCACAGATGAACGACGTAGCAGTTCACGTTATCTCCTGCTCTTCTGATGCCTCCGACGATTCCTCATCGACTGAAATTGGGAAAATATGTCCCATGAGGCGATCTCCAAGCTCTATTGAGTTCGAGAACATGACTTCCGTGCCATATCATGCTCAGTATCAGCGTATTGTGGAGGAGGAAGAGGCCGCTGAAATGGAGAGGCTCTTGCAACAGTTAGATGAGGAACAGCAGGCTGTGCAAGATATGGCAGTAGCTCAGCGTTACCAGTTGATGCAAGAGCAGATTGCTCTAATTCAGATGCAACTTGGCAACGAAAATGCTGAGGTTCCAGATCTCAAGTGGCTTATGGCCAATGATCCCGATAACAGTCACGAACTTGACGAGGTCATTGCGGCGTTCGCCGCGAGGGACGACGATCTCCCTCAAGAAACGCCCGAAGCACCCGACATTCCACTTACATGCAAAAACTTCTTCTGCCGATGCCCATGGAGAGACAATATGAGAAAAGACGAAAAAATGTTAGTAGAACACGCAACACATGCGGGTGACAGCATTCGTACGCTGTCACGCCGCTCCTCGCTTCATCCTCTATGTCGGCGTCTTGTACAATTTCACGTGTTTCATCAGTGTAACCTGCTGCACTGCACACGTCGTTGCTAGGGGTTTTGTTTTTTAATTCAGAATACGGTGGGCCTTGATTTGTTGTCCGCTGGGAATGCCTCTGTTTATCGGTCAGTTGAAAATGATAACACACGCTTTCACAGCAAATCCACAATTAACCTACAGTTCGCTTAAAGGTAACTGGCTGTGATCCAGATGCTCCCTTGCAAAAAGTAGCCTCATAAATAAATCAAATATCCGCGACAGATTGCAGACTGCAGAGAGAGTGGCAACAAATGAAATAAGCTTCAGTACTGCTACCTCAGATGTTGGTGCCCTATGTCGGTAGCGTTTTCAAATACAGAAGCTCCAGTGACGTTAGGCAGGCGCTGATCACGACAAAGTCAGAAGGACGCATGCAACCCCATGCGGAGCAACTAGCGGTTTTTCGCTCGAATCCACGTCAAGGCACAGCAACTTTGCTTTCGCTCGATCTTCATTTTCTTCTGCCTTTGCTAGCTTGTGAACAGGAGTGATCATGAGCTTGTGCTCGATTAAAAGGAGGCAAAGTGTGGTGAAAGCGGTGAGAAACTTGCTTTTCAGGTCCTATGTGGTGGACAATCTGCTGTGGCTTGGCATGCAGTGCATACAGTGGCTCTACCAATACATTCGGCCTTCTTTCGCATCAATTTAGCAAGCTAGATGGCATGTGAACAAAACCCTAAGGGATATGTTTTGTTTTCTTGTGTGCAGCTTGCACGGTTGAGCTGCGCTTTGCTTAGGGAAATGTTTTGTTTTTCTGTGTGCAGCTTGCATGGTTGAGCTGCGCTTTGTTTACTCTGATCGTCTGCTCAATTCTGGTTGGCCTAGCTGTTGCCCTAGCTATCGAGTTAAAGGGTCAGCTCCAGCTTAGTGGCTGTATTTTTCGGATGCTTATAGAGACCGCAGTATTGTCTGAGGGGAACTTCGCCTCTGTTTCATTGAGAGCATAAATTTGGATTTGTCTCACTAAGACTTTCATTTTATGGTACAGCAATCGAGGAAAACATCCCAGACGGATCTGATTCTTCTGGGAACGAGTCAGGGGACGCAGTGTGGTCAAATCCGTATAATATCTTTACCACTACGACCTGTGGGCAGTACGGCATCAGCTTGAAGATCGAACACTCCAGCAGTAAGGCGGCATTACGGTTCTGGAAGGCTCATCACGAGAATTAAAATTCACCTGGGGCATCAAGTTTTCCGCCCTAAACGGCTTTGCTCAAAGCCCACTAACGCACTTCAAATAGCCTCAGTCTGGTTGCAGTTCACATCTGGCATCTTTACGTGAGGCCTGCGTGTCCCCAGAAACACATATTTTAAACGAGGAAGTCTTCGGTACCGTTGCATTCATCGGCCTTTCCAGAGCAAACACTTGGGACATCATGGGGTTGCTAGACTGTAAGCTACTACGTGTACCGGTTCCAGATGCACTAAGGCAATGAAGGTGCGAGCCAGTGAACCACTGCAATTCAGCAAGAGCATGTAACTAAGAAGGTGGTTTGTTCTGTGCGTTTGGTCGCTCTCCCTTAGTGTCCTATGATCACGATTTTGATGCCATAGCGATATCACCGCCTGGGCATGGAAACACAACACAGGTAGAGGAGGACGGCGGAGGATTTTGGAGCCCAGCGAATTTCCTCAAAAACGGATTGGAATCTTGCTTGGGAGTGTCTCTAGCAAAGACAGTCGTTGTATCCCATAGCAACTTCGTCACCCGCAAGTATTTCCTTCCGCTTCTGATGGTGTGGCTGTACCTTCACCGTGCACGAGGGGCATTTAGGTGGCGAACAGCGATGCAAAGACACGGCACACACTTTTGAACACACCCAGAAATGCAGCAGGTTCTTGTTATCTCAGCGTTCTAGCGCATAGTTTTGGACAAACTTTGCTTTGTATTTCTCAGTCAGAAATCGCCCTGGGTTTCGTGCTCTTTGATAGCTCCGTTGGCACCGAGTGGATGGATGAATACGACACGGATGTCAACGACCACAAGTTCTATCAAGTCAGAACGAAACACTACCGAGTAAGTTCTACTGCATTGGAGGCTCACCTAGGAATGACTTTAAGTGACTAGATTTCCCTTGAAGGTTTTGCTTTTTCCTCATAGGGGGCTGAAGTCCCCTACAGGATGCAGTTGCTTACGACGCACCCAGATCATATTGAAATATGCTGTCATATTCAGTATGTTGGGAAAAGACGTTTAGCAGCAGCTGAAAATATTATTCAAGCTCTGGAGGCCAGTTACCGGGTAAGCAACCGATCAGTGGTCTGCTCACTGTAAGAAAGTTATCTAAATTTCGGTACTGTCCCACACACCCAAAAGGAGTGCAGTGGACTGCCGGGTAAGTGTCAGGTCAGTGTTGTATTGCTTCTGTCCCTCTTTTGCTGTCTTTTAGATGCGAGATTCCCCGAGTGTGATAGACAGCAGCCCTTTGCATGCTGACAGCCCAGCGCTGCAGCAACAGGTTCCACGAATACTGGCAGCTACATCACTTAAAGGATACTGCCGCGCTGAACCTGAAGGACCAGATGATGCATTTCCGACGAATAGCACGCTAGGCCCCTTTGACTTTTTCCCGGGAAAGTACAAGGTAAGCGGTAGATGGGCAAAACGGTCTTGCCGTGTTTGTCGAGCACTTTTCAAGACTGAAGTAGTGTCGCAGGCAACCAAGATAGCACACAGCAGTGTGATTATTTTTTTTTAGCTTGCCCACTAGAGCCTGTATTCTATGTAACAGTTGCCAGGGTGGGACACAGCGAGAAGGCGTTACCGAGAGACTCCATTGGATGCTCCGGCCGACGAAGGAATGGAAACTCGATTAGTAAACAGCGAATATTTCGCCCCGCTTCGTACTGCTCTTGCTGAATTTCTTGAAGAGTTGAAAAGCCTCTCGCTTCAAGGGAAGCTGCAGGCTGAACAGCCACGGCCTCTTCGCTTTAACAACCGACAAGTTGAATACGACAAGTCAAGAGAGAACACTACAAAGGTAGACCCGATGGCAGTTTATTGCATTCAAGAATCAGCTACCGAAGAATCGGTTGCCCGGTCAGGTCCCTCAAGTGAGCCCCCCATAGTACATCTTGTTGACCCAGAAAAGTATCTGCTTCAGAAAAAAGCTAAAGCACTGCGTAGCTCCTCCACCACTACGGCGCCTACCCATGCAACAAGGAGGAGGCCCATACACAGTCCCCCGATGGAAGTAGGCTTCTCCATTGGAGCCATCATCAGCAACTGGAAACCTTGAAGCGCATGACACGGAGCTGTGATGAGTGCTTCACCGGTGAACCTTGCGGCAGCCATCGGAAGACCGCTCTATTAACACAAGCTAGCTGCGCCCAAGGCGTTTCAGAGTTTTCTATCAAGAGAAGCTTCTTCCGCTCTGAACGCAAAAGGCTTGATACAGTGCAATCGCAACTTGCAATACTCTATCTTGTGGTGCCACAAAATTGAAAGGCTTTTGAACGACTGAATATACAAGCCTTCGACTAAGTCAACTGCTCTTCTTGGGGTCAGTACACTGGCGAATGCAAGGAGCCGCACCAGTAAGCTCCACTAGGCAAGTAGAAAAAACCAAGGGCTTCTTGTAGAGTATTCCAACTAAAATTCTGCCAAATCCTTTCTTGAGCAATACAGAATTCCAGTGGCGCACTCCCTTTTACATATCTGGTGCCTATGCCTCGTGCCTTTAGAAAGTCGCGCCGTTCGCAAAAATGCAGAGCTGCAATAAGCGCGAAACAAAAGGGGTGCCTTGGACTCAGCTTGACGAAATATACACAAGAAACATACTTTAATGCTCCACTCCTGTGTAATTGCTACGTTAGCTCGTGAAAATCATTGCTCGAATACCTCACCCACCGGTCTCTGTATAAGAAACCCAAATGATTCCACTTCTGTGTCAAGTTTCACTTTCATGCCAAGTTTGGGTAGTGCTCAAACTTGCAAGCTTATGCCTAATGTAATGCATTTCGTCTTCTTCAAGGAGGCTCATCAGTAGAGTATTATCTAAAAGCTGCGTTCTTCTGAAGTTGCTATATCAAAGTGAGCCTGTTTAGAAGCGCGAAGCTGCTTAGAAAGAGGGTCTCGGCCACAAGGCCTCTCTCGCTTCCCGCTAAGAAGAGCGGTTCACACATAGCCCGGACGCCCTCGTCATTTGTAACTCCAGTTCGTGTCTGTTGAGTTGACACATGAGATTCACGAAAAAAGCTGCAGTGCACTATCACAATGATGTAAAAGCAGCGTTGGTTCTCGAGTGGTACAGCCTCTGCTACGTGAACAGTCGCTAGCGTCTCCACCAATTTTTCAAAGACTCCCCTCAAGCCTCAAGCCTACAGGTTCAAGTAGGCTGTAGAGCAAAATACGCGAGAAAGGGGGAAGAAAGAGAAAACCTGCCACAGAAACAAGAGTGCATGAGAAAACTGGAAGCGCACGCCCTACCACCTGCTCACAAGAAATGAAGGGTGTTGTTGCTCTTATGGATTTATAATGTTTGAGTCTTTAGGATAGCTCTGTTGGTAGTAGTTTTGTTCGTAGAGTACTGCTTTCATAGTTGCACCGTCGTGCTGCGCGAAACTGAACAAGCACAATGTTGCCTATTCCTGGAAAGGACCCAAGAAGTATGGATATGGACCAGCAGGGTAAACATCCAATAGCTCATTCGCCTTTTGAATCCCTCAGATGACGGCTTCGTCTGTAATTCAGGGCAAGGTCACTTGCTGACAGTGCATCCTGGCATTCCGCAGTGAGGCAGGTACGAAAAAGGCGCCGACCGCCATAAGCTTTCCTTTGGAACTAGCCCAAATCCAATTTATGAAGTATTGTTCGGGTTTACGCAGAAGAACTCATTCTAAGGTCACCCGCCCCCACTGTCGACCAGAGTTTGGTGTCTGTGTAGAGATCTGGCCGGTAACATTTTCCACAGCTGATTTTGCTGAGTAGCTCCAAAACTGTCACAAAGTTGTATTACATTTACAGTTCAATAACGACGTTCTGTGCCGCTTTGATGGGCAGGCTGACTGTCGGAATCGACGGCCTCACAGCCCCGGTGCGCACTGCGCTCTGCCTTCAAAGAGCCACCAAGAATTACAGTGTTCAGCTTAAAAGTGGGGCGATTTGGATTTTAACCCATGCAATAACATTTTGTTTGAGCATCGGAATGCCGGTCTCGCCTTGTGGTCATGAGCTCGCACTACCGGCTCTGTGGATGGATTAGTGGTGAGCATCGATTTATCTAGAGACTTCCTAAGCAAGCGCAGCTCAGTGTCCTACACGACCAATTGTTTAAAGGCCAGTACTCAAATACATATTTTGGCCAGTCGTTCCGTGGAAGAGTCTACCAGCGATGCATGCTTCTGTCCCCGAGGTACTCTCAGTTGTTAGGAAAACAGAAAGCAACGACTTGGTGTGCTAAAAGAACAGCACAGGCGACGCAGTAGATGCCCTCGTGTCTGGCCACCGCTGGTTGCAGAACAATTAGGATAGGGCTTCAAAAGTCGGTAGAGGCTAAACGTAACCCGTTACGAGTGGGCACGCAATGGAAGACCCCAGCCAACAAGCCTTGTCGGAGGCTGTCCAGCCAGGCACCACATCTCAAAAAGGCGAACATGCTTCAGTTGGACATGAACATAGTGAATATTTAGCCAATGGAGAACATGCCGAGCCAACTGGACCGCTCGAAGGGCCCGAACACCTGAGGACTAAAGAAGTCGAGCGACAGGGGCCTAGAGACGATTTTTACCAGCATCCTACTAGTGTAACTGAACGAAATCAGGAAACATCTATTTGCATTAAGTCTGCAGTAGATCTGGAGGAACTGAATGACACTGGGCTCACGACTGATCGTGTTGAAGAGCTTCGGTCAGTCTTCGGTCCAAATGCTGTGAAGCCAAAGCAGGTGGGGTACAGTGGCGCAGCGAAGACTTCAGCTGTGCCCATACCATCTTCCCGCAGCACAATGCTCTAAAATATGGGCCAATAGAGGGGATTTTGGCATACGGAGAAGAGTAGAGCGAGCTTGCGATTTAGTTACGGAGGTCTTGGCAAAACGTATCAGCTCCGCAGGCTCTGGCTGATAGGCAGCAGTAGTGTAAGAAAACGTTGCTATATAGAACTTGTGAAGCTAACTGGCGTCATTGGCGTGGCCGCTGTATTTCTGATCGTGGTTTCCTGCGCGCAGATTGCTGAGTGGCAGAAGGTTCTAGAGCGGTACATGCGTGTGACGCCCATCTTGCTAATGATAGCCTGCCTGTTGTCTGTGTGCATTAAAGTTGGCGAAAAGCGAGACTGGATATCGTTTAGTCTTTTGTTGTTTCTCTGCAACGTGATGGTCTGGGCCGACTATCTTGGAGAACGATCAGCATCGAATGCGATTAGCGCTGTGGAGAAACTGGCGGCGGTAGAGTGCAGCACCAAGCGTGACGGCTCGTATATCACCATCAATGTTGTTGATTTAGTTCCTGGCGATGTCGTTTGGCTGAAAGCAGGAATGGTCGTTCCAGCAGACGGAGTGTTCATACCGCCACAAAAATACTTAACAGTGGATGAGTCAGCACTTACTGGGGAATCAGTACCAATTAAGAAGCACAGAGGAGCCGAGCTGCTCAGCGGCTCTGTGGTGCAGCGGGGGGAAGGAGCAATGCTAGTACAAAGGACGGGAGCTCAGTCTTTCTACGGCAAAACTATAGCGCTCTTGGCTCGAGCAGAGGCAAAGGGTCACCTGCGAACGATTCTCGATAAGGCCTCGAAAGTACTCACACTGACAGCTGTGGGATTCGCCGTTTTTCTCATATTTTGGGAGGCGTTTCACCCTGTCTGGATACAGATGAGCAGCGAAAATGTTAACATCGGCTCCCTGTTCAAGCGCGCTTTCACTCTGATTGCTGCCGTAATCCCTGCTGCCATGCCAGTAGTCACTACAACGGTTCTTGCTGTGGGGTCTGTGGCTATGAGCAAGGAGCATGCAGTGGTGTCAAGGCTGTCGGCCATAGAGGAAGCAGCTGGTGTTGAAGTCCTGTGCACCGACAAAACTGGCACTCTCACGCTGAACATTCTTAGTTTATCCAGAGATGAGATCTTCGTTGAGGCCAGTCACACTATTGATCAACTACTGGTCTACGCCTCACTCGCAGCAAGCCTGACAGACCCCGACGCCATTGATAGGGCTATCAACTCAGCTGTAGATATGAATGAACGGACGAATTTTACTGTCCTTGACTACACACCTTTCAATCCGGTGGACAAACGTGCTGAAAGTATCGTGCGGTCAAAATCGGGCGAAATCCTCTTAGTCACGAAAGGTGCACCTCACATAATAAGTGAGCTAGTCTGTGCACCTGAAAATTCAGCGAAACGCCAAGCGCTTCAGTCAATTATTGAGGACAAAGCCAGAAGAGGCCTACGCACCCTGGGTGTTGCTATTAAGCGACTCGGAAATGAAGCCATCAAGACTATCGAAGAGGCCTCTGAGAGTGTCAGCTACACCACATGGGATTTCGTTGGCTTTTTGTGCCTGATGGACCCTCCAAGACCCGACACAAGGGAGACTTTAGAGCGATCGAAACATATGGGAATAAGTGTGAAAATGCTGACCGGGGACCAGCAGGCGATTGCGGCAGAGACAGCGAGGCTCTTAGGGCTTGGCGACAACATATCTGGGCCAGAGATATTCCGTTCAAGGCCGAAAGGCATGGAGAGTGACGTGGCTTTCCGAGAGTACATTGGCAATGTGGATGGCTTTTCTGGAGTATTCCCTGAACATAAATTCGAAATTGTTGACAACCTGCAGCAAGGCGGCCGCCTTGTTGCCATGACAGGTGATGGAGTCAACGATGCACCTGCACTGAAAAGAGCAACTGTAGGGATTGCAGTCAGTGGAGCAACGGAGGCGGCGCGCGCAGCAGCGGATATAATTCTGCTGGAGCCGGGTTTGTCCAGCATTATCACCGTCTTTAGTTTGTCCCGCCAGATTTTCAAGCGCATCGAGGCGTACATCACTTTTCGTATCCATAGTAGCTTTATGACCCTGTTCTTTTGGTGGGGCTGTGTAGTCATTTTTGATTACGAATACCCCACGTGGGTGCTGGTGCTTGTTGCCATTATAAATGATTTCGTGCTTATGAGCTGCTCCCGAGATAACGTCCCATCGTCTAGCAAGCCACTGATCTGGTCGATGCTTCAAGTGTCATCCATTGCTTTTTTGACTGCAACGCTCATGGCTATAAGCTTGTTACTGTATATATACTTGTCCGATCCAAGGTATGGAGTGAACTGGTGGGAAGCGTTCGGCTTAGAGCGCTTCCAGGAATCCGACACCGTGACCTACGGGAAAATGCCGAAGAGCCTTCAAACTTCTTGTGGGGTCTGGCTGTTGTTCACTTTATGCATTCAATTCAGTTTCCACAGCTGTCGTACCCGCAACTTTGGGCTAATTTACAGCGCAGAAAATCGTCCTCCATCATTAATTGTCCTAACACCTCAAATTTTAGCTGTCCTGCTAACTCTGTTCCTTTCAGTTTACTGGAGGACTGAGTGGCAGGTTTCTTCAGGACCAAGTATGGTTGGCGTCTCTTGGGGCCACGCTGGCATTACAATTCTCTGGGGCATTATCTGGTTTATTTTCACTGACTGCTGGAAGGTTGCTCATTGCGTCTTCATCTGGCCTTACCTTGAGCGGTTAGAAAGAACATGGCGAAAAAGCCACTCAGAAACGTTGCCTGAAGAGCAGCGGCGCAGGGGGAAGATGCGTCTCGCGCTTAAAACGATGGAAGAGCAGAGGCGGAAGAGGGCACAGGCCTGGAAACGGCAGCGGCAGGCTGTCATGGATTCCCTGCGCCGACAGAAGTTGAAATCGGGTAACACAGCACAACAAAGTACAAAAAGCGACGGAGCTCACGTCGCCAGATCCTCACACCCTTAAGCGTTCGGCGTGACCAGAAAAAGCCTGAAGGCACGGGAAAGTTCAAGGAGCACCACGAGCTAGATATGGCGCCGAACACATAGCCGATTCCCTCTTCACAGCAAAACTTGAGTGAAAATTACGTAGGGCGGTCACCTTCGGCAAGAAGAGGGACCTTCACGCACCTTTTATGCGCTTTCACTCAAATTTGATTTGATATATTTGCAATGCATTTCCAGCATGTGTTTCTGCATTGTGCAAGTGGCAACTCATAGCGCTTGTGGGGTTCTTGACTTGCCGCATCCAATGGGTACTATAGCGATTAACAGTTGACTTATGAAACATTCTCAAGGACGCAGCTAAAAAGCGCGTATATATAGAAGTGTAGGGTATGGTGGTCTAAATGCTTGCTAAAAATGGTGCCTTGCTCACCATAGATTAACAACGCACAACTTTACATACCGAAGTGAAGCAACGGATGGATCAGGAGTCCAGGCGTAGTGCTACCGTTCCATCCCCATAAATTTAAACAAAATAAAACTAAAAAAATACAGTTAGAGCCGAAGGTGAGCGTGTAGGGGTGTAAGGAGCAATGGCCGCGCAGGAGAAGAGGGCGATGGAGCGTGGATCTGGTGATCTATTGAAACGCGAAGCCGTTCCTTAGCTGGTGGTGCCATATCACCTGTTACTTTGTTTTCACTTGTCTCCACGAAGTGAGGAATTGTTGTGCGCGTTGTTGACAAAAAACACACTTTTGTTGCGCCCTCCTCCGAAGAAATCCCGGCATTACTGAAGGTCACTCGCAACCAGTCTGACAGCGGAAAAGACTGACACAACACGCGGTGAAATAGCAACTTTGAGTCCTAGCCTTATAGTCTGGCTGAAGCAAAAAGGAGGACGAGATATCTCCGTGGCTGTAGTGAAACGGAGGCCGCGGGGAAGGGAGTAGGTGCACCTCCTTCTTGTGCGCGAGCGGGGCGAAGCCCCTTTTGCTCATCTTTTCGTAGTCCCGGATTGATAAAATATTATTTGGTGAAATATTAGATTAAAAGACATTTTCTCTCTGCTTTTTGGTTGCACGCAAGCTGAGGACTCATCACGCGCTGTGCAACCAACCCTCCACTGGTCACCTCTCTGTCTCCTTGCACGATACTGCTTTTCGAATGTACAACATGGAAGCTCTTCACAACCTGAGGTGCAATTTGTAGTAGTATCCTGAACAACAGGACGCCATCAGTGAGAGCAGCGTAACGCAGGCAACGCTTGAGGACTGACCCATGAGGTTTGTTAACACCTCGTGGGTCCTCTGGGCTCGAAGCTGTAAAGGCTGCCGGAACAGAAGCATATTAAGGCAGGAAATGCGATTTGCGTGATACATTGTATTTTAATTCGATTCTTCTCATGATACGCATGTAAGCGCCATTCAGCTGTGTTCGCCCTTGGTTCGCCACCTCGCAGCAGCCACACAGCAGGACTGGACTCTGAAGAAGCCGAAATTCACTGTTTGTAGCCTTAGAATCTGTCCCAATTTCGTGGAAAGATGAGCACTATTGTATTGATGGTAGGGGGCTGTGGCAACTACCTGGGTAGTGAGCTATTTACATCTCTCTATGGCGAACTACAACGCGCGGCCAGCCTGGACGACAACCGAACGGTTCATTCGTTGACCAATCGTTTCTTCAGCAGCCCTTCTCCCATTACGCGCGGAGTTAGTCTGAAACCGCGTTGCCTCCTAATCGATATGGAGGCAAAGACCGTCCAGAACTGTCTCCTGCGGCAAATGTCGCCACCACATCACAGGCAAGTGGGCACCAGTAACTTCAGCGTAAGCGAAGCAAATGCGGGGTGGTGCTGGGATCCAAAATTCGCTTTTTGGCAGCAGGGAGGTTGCGGCAATAATTGGGCGCTTGGCCACCATGTGCAGGGCCCCAACCACAGGGATACCCTGGAGCGCCTGCTTCTGAGCCTTGCAGAAGAGGCAGACGCTGTCAGCTCCATTTTGGTACTTCATTCTTTGGCAGGTGAGCTGCTTAGGCTTAAGCACTTGGTTTCACCCCAGATTCTGTTATTATAAAAGTTCTTGCCACTGTTTTCGCTCATATCAGTCTTAGCACGGAAAGTTGCAGTTACTGGCAGTTACTGGCGCTTTGATTCTGGCTGCGTTCTGGTAGGGATTCCGACGCTTTCCCTGTGGTGGTACTTAGGTGGCACTGGCTCTGGAGTTGGGTCTTTTTTGACTGAATTGTGCTCGGATTTACTGCCGGAGAGAACCATCGCCAGCTGCTGCGTTTGGCCATTCGACTCAGAAGTCTCTACGCAGGCCTTCAACACTGTCCTCTCTTTGGCATCTCTTCAGAGCTCTAGGTGCTTGGCTGTGGTTGCACATTATATCAGTCCCACGATGAATCACAGTGCGCGTTACTTGGGAAATATGCCATTAGGCTTCTTTGCAGTTCGTCTACAGTAAAGTTGACAAAACAGAAGTTTATGCATTTTTCACTGACTCCGCGTTTGCGCTACTCAAATATTGAGTTGATATGTGACGAGAGCTACTAAAAATGAGTAGCATTCGGAGGCAGCATCCCTTCTCTTTCATTTCCATCCTCACGGGGTTTGTCCTGAACCCTGCCGCTACCCAGCTGATGGGCATCAGTCTCTGCGGCGTATGTTGAGCTCAGTGATGGCATATTTATTTTTGACAATGCCCGTTACGCAAAGATCTTACAGCGGGAGCGAGGTTCCAGGGCTACACCTACAGGAGCTGGCATGACTGAGATCAACTGCTGCATCGCCCGTGACCTACTTGGCTGTTGCCTGCTTCCCAGCTCTCCTTGGATGCCGATGCCACCCCGTCGAGTATACCCAACCCGCCCTACTGCGCGATCACGCTGGGCGCGTGCACCTTGCCAGGACAGCAACCCAAGTGCCTTAAGGCCGCTGTGGGATGAGGCAGCAGGTTCTGCTGCTACTTGCACCCTGCGCGGCCTTGTGAGTGACGTAGTCACTCACCGAGCCTTCAAGCTGCTCACATGCCGGTACCTTCCACAGGGGCTTGCTCCCCTTGAAAACAGCCAACGGCTTTCGCCATACACTTACCCTTCTTTGCTTCGCCGGCTAGAGCGGATGTTTGCTAGGGCGGATACACTTGACCTGCATTCACCTCCCAGCCCAGCAATGCCCTCCAGTCATAGACAGAGGCAATACGCAGAAGTACAGCAGCGGGAAAAAAACAGCCCTAAACTGGCAGAGACATCGCAGGGCATGCAGCCAAATGCTGCAGTGGCCGCACAGCTGTGCATGCGAGGGCCGGCTGTCAGGGCCTTACAGAGTGATCCAATGGCCAATTGCAGCATTGGATTGTGGCGATATGCTGCCAATCCCCCGCAGGTATGCAGCAAATCCTTCCTGCTTGTACTTTTACAGGCCTAATTGTTGGCGAATACTGAAGCCCGTGTAGAATTCGCGTTTTTCGAGTGTACATTCTATCAATCGCCTGCCAGGCATGCCATTCCGCACGCTACTGCACAGTGAAGCCAGTATCATATTTTGCCTTTTTGCAGATCTCTGCTAACTCATTCGCGGCCTTTGGAGAGCCTTGCAGCTTGGCTCTCACTACGAATTGCCGCACGCCACTGCCTGCTCTGCGACGGTGAGACAACAGACGTTCAACACACAACATCAGTCCCGCAGATGTTTGAGGGTCTGCTTGCACCTGGCAGCTATGGTATGCATTCGCCTTTTTGCCGCTGCTGCTGCAGCACGGTGCAGCTTGGCCTCGACATGCTGCAAGCTGGAGCCTTTGTGCATCATTACGAGCAATTCGGCGTGGAATCTCACGACCTCTGGGGTGCTCTTGAACAGCTGCAGGAAACTGCAGATGCTTACGGCACCCTCCTCCCAGCCTAACAGCGCCCGAGACACAAGGTACCACGGTCTCGACTGCAGGCGTCGGGGACGAGTAACTGAAAAGTGTTGCTTCAGTTGCCATCTCCTGTGAAGACAAGTATGCCACTACATGCATTCTTGTCCCCAAAAACAGCCAGGCTGCGGCTTTTCCTACATATACCAGAGAACTGACGTGCTGTAGGCTCTCCGTATGTCACTGACGAGAAACCTAAGGCACGGACTATGTTAGAATACTCCGCGGCCAGTTTGCATTCGTATCAAGATTTCAAAGCGCTCAAGAGAAGCTTAAGTGCGCGTTTTGCATTGGTACACGCTCAGTGTACTACCTGCACTACCACTTCGTTTCTTCCTCTTTCTGCTTTGTCCAGCCGCTGCAGGCCAGCACTACTTTGAGCGACTTCGCTGCTGTCAGAGGCGAGGACAAACCAGAGTTTCACAGTGATGGAGAAAAATCTTCTCCGTCTATTATGTTGCACTGCTCAGACGACTTCCCGAGTCCGGTGTCGTGATATTGAAGCACTTTGGTCGTGTGCATTCTTCGATTCCATAGTTTGGCTGTTCCACTGCATGCACGGTTTCTTCTGCATTACTGATGAGCTCCTGTACGTCCCATATGCAACAATTAAGGCTGAATATTTTTCTGGAGAGCTCCTTCTTCCATGGAGCAGTGATCGCTCCTACTAATAACTAGTCAGATGCACGACAGAGCTTACATTTAAAGCCGTTACACCTTCTTCGGTGCGGAATGTGGCAAAAAGGGAAGCCACGCGCAACTGAGGCAGCGCAGCGCTTGACCTTCCTGTTTTCAAGTCGTACCGTGCTCTCCAGGTCAATGTCAGCAACACCCACAACTGTGTTATCTATTTTCTGTGCTGCGATTACATTCTTCTTTTCTCGCTAATATATCTACTGCGGTGTTGAGCAGCGTTATCTCAGTGCATGAGATGGCCAACGGCCATCTTTGGTTCCTGGTTTACCGATTCCACGTGCGGAATGCAATTGCATCTCCGCGCCACCAAGACAGTCGATACGTGCATTTTTGTGCGCCGTACAGAAGGCTGGCAGCCAGAGCGAGGCAAACAAATACAAAAGAATAGAAGGAAAAAGAGAGTGGTCTGCAGCACCGGGAGCATCGTGCAGCCTTTCAAGAACCCAAAAAGATACAAGGAAGCCCGAAGCACGCGCAAGTTGTAAAACCTGTGCTGCAGCTCAGCTTTTGCCAGGAGGAAGAGCCGGCTGTACACCGGCAACCGAACAGGGTGCCGGCATAACTGAACGTCTCCATCTCTGCTACATACGCGTTGTTCCTATGCCTTTGAGTTCTCGACGCTGATGCCCTTCCTGCAAACATCAAGTGATGTTCAACAGAGGCAACATCGCACCATAAATGAGCAGTTGTTAGCTCATACAGTTGGATCTGAGGACGCAACACTAGGTGTCAGTGCTCCCGAGCTGTTGTTTGTGAACTCCTACCATACACTACAAAACAATGCAGAATATGTAACAACGAAGGCTCCAAACACTCGTTTCCGTGGTTGAATTGAAGCCCAGGCACCTTTGTTGTTGTAGTTCGGGCCGTGCCCAGACATGAAATTTAAAGACACAGAACAAATCAATGTCGAGTGAAGTAAGCCAGGACCGACATACGCTTTCTTGCGGCTGCCGTGCGGAGATCTGCTGCGGTCGCGATTATTTGCCGATTTCCTCTTTGCCGCCTCCTTCGTTGCCCGGTGCTCCTGCGACACAAATCAGCCAGCACCAACACTCTGTTACTTCCTCCCAACATATCAACGTCACCGTCGGCCGCAGACCATATACAGAGCAATACAATTAATGGATGCACATACCTCGAGGAGGGTCTGCCTGAGAGCATCACAGCGGCTTGCGATTTCATCCTTCGGAAGACCTACAAAGGCGTGAAACTTACAAAAGAGCGACAAATACACCCCACATACTGCCGAGAACACACAACTGCTGCTGAAACTAATTGCAGCAACAGGTGTACGTCACGGCTTAGTAGCTCCCATATCTGTTAGGTGCATTTAGAGACATCGGCAAGTGAGACTGCTCAGAGCATCGCGTAGCCAGCCTCAAAGAACGTTCACAACTAGCTACTTAGCTTGGCTACAAAGCGGACGGCCTCACTTTGGTCTTCAAGATGCACCTGGAGCTCCGTTACCTTGAGCTCTATGGCACGCATACGTTCTCTATCGGACTCGCGAGCCTCTTGAGACTCTGCCGTTGCTGCTGATGCTCCTGATACTGTTGTTGCGCCTTCCTCTTCATCTTGCTGCTCCTGTGCCTGCTCTTCTTCCTCTCTTTCAAATACAAAGATATCTGAGGCCTCGCTGGCCACGTCATCTTGCTGCTGGTTTTCATCCCCAGGCTGCTTCGCGCAACCCTCTGCTGCATCTGTGGACACCTCCGGTGCGGCAGTAGTGGCAAGTGGGCCCTGAGGCGCAGCCATTGCTGCCGCTGCAGCAGCCGCTGCTTGACGTTCTGCTGCTGCAGCAGCCTGAGCCTCCAGCAGCACGTCAAGCGGCACTTCCGCTGCCTGCCGGATCACAATATACGCGGAGAATAAATACAATAGCAACTGACCTTTCTATGTGAATGCAGATTAGCAAGCAGGAAGGGCAGCAGCAGTGACAGCAATACTGGTGGCAACAGGAACAACGCAAGTCTTCAGCTGCAACAATTTTACCTCCTGCTTTAATCTCCAATATAGCTCCTGCCGCGCTAGTTGCACGAGCTGCTTTTGTCGTCTTTCGCTGCTACTACTATTGCTGCTGCGGGAAGGCACAACTCCGAGGCCCCGCTGCTGGCAGAGCCTGTCCAGCTGGTAACGGTCAAGCAGCAGCCATTCCTGGAAGCACGTGCAAGACAAAGCTGGGAGAAACAAAGTGAAACTGGGCCAATCTGTGCGCCCCTCTCGAAACAGGCCACCTAATAAAGCACGCCATTTGTAGTCCTACACAGAGCTCTGCTAATGTATGCCACAGCAGCTCCATCTCAGAATATGGCCCGTCAGGATTCTTACGAGCAGCAGCACCAGTATCTGCTCCTTACCATTGCAGCGGGCCGCAGCCACAGAGGAAACTGTGCGATGAGAGGCCTGAGGTTTTCCGCCAATGGCTCTCCGTCTAGCTGAGGATCTGCGAGCTCCGCTGCGGCAGCTTCGCACTTTGCCGCTGCTGCTGCTGCTGCGTCAGGATCCAGCAATGTTGCTGTTATGTCGCGGCCGCAGAGTGTGGCCTCAATACCCTGCGGGCACGTATCGGCGTCAGAGACAACGGGAGAGAAACTAATGCGGCAGCAACAGCATAAGGCTTTATCAGCAGCAGCCAGCCAGCATCAACAACCAAGAGAGCATGCAATCGGCTCACCCTAAGAAACGTAGGTGGATACACACCCCAAGCCTCCCACAGTTTTGTCATTTTGTAAAGGGCCCTCTCTACGCCCTGCCATTGCTCCTGCTGTGTCCTTGGGCTGCCTCCTCCGACACCGACTCCCAATCGTAGGTCTTCTAGAACTGCAGCAACAGGGCCAGCGAGAAACAAAGTTACAAAATGTCTTTACTGCTCCTACAGTGGGAATATACAAGTGTACACCGCAGAGAGAGACATCCAGTTCCATCTACAGCAAATTCCTTTTCGCCTTAGCAGTGGTTAAGTGCTTCCATCGCAATGAAACTTACTTCCTCGAACAAGTGAACGCCCAGTAGCAGCCGGGCATTCGCTCGTGAGACTAGGGAAACAAGTTGCATTGCTGTGGAAGCACTTGTCACGGCTAGTGCAGCGACAGGGGCAGCAGCTGGTTAAGGACATACGTACCTTTGCTCCAGCGATCTGCAATAAGAGGTAGATTCTTCTCTAAGTGGTATCTGTAGGTCCAGGCATGAGCTGTCTGAGCACTTGAATTGGCGAGCAAATCCGACAAGAGGTAAGTTCGCGCTAGCCTCATTGTCAGCGCCGTGTCCGGTAGAGTCAGCGATTCGGTCAGGCAACTGCACACTTCTGCGCTGCTGCTCCCATGAGACATGCAGAAGGACATAGCTGCGCAGATGGAAGCCCTAAAACCACAAACACACAAGACGACGGGCATAACACCTAGACCCCTAAAAAAGACACGATGTTACAACGGTTTTCCACTGCACTGATCAGAAACGATACGTGAGCCAGCAGAAACACGTGCTCCACCAGCAAAAAGGGTCACCAGCACAAAAGAGTAGGCGCAACGACACAAACGGCCAGCACAAGAGAGTAGGCGCAGTGAGAGCAAAGCCAAGTCCGAGAAGCGGCAAAGCAGCTGGGGCTCCAAGAAGCAAGTGGCCCGTGCTGCTAGCTCCAACGCAGCTTTGAGACAAGCAAAATGTAGCAAAATAAAACCCATCAATCAACCTCACCTGTCCCTCGTGATGTTACGCAACAGCTCCTCAAGCTCCTCACGGTCCGCTGCGCTCAGCCGCTCGCCACCGCGAGCTGCTATCCGGCTGTTCACAGCATACAACGAAACACCATCCGAGCGCCACTGATGAAAGTAAACGATGAAGAAACAAGTGCAGCCGCACCAGAATAAGCGACAACAGCAAAGCGGATAACAACAGCACCCAAAGCAGAGGCGACAGAAGCTGCCCACATGCTGCGTTCCTCTGCTGCTTCTGCTTTTTTCTTCGCTCTGAGCCACAAAGATAAATGGCAAAGGACACAGACGTTGAAACACTCTCAAGACAAGCGTCGGCGCCTCCACTACAGCACCAGCTGTTGCAGCAGCCGGAAATGCTTCTGCGAAGCACCTCGTCCTGTATTTTCCCCTAAAGCAGCAGCAGAGCGAGGAATGACATTAACAAACGCAGTCAGTTCAGTGCTTACGGTTGCTGAAAGTATTTCTCCGGTGGTGCTGCCCATCGTCTTCCTCCTGAGTAAATGAAGAACGGCTCTACGCGCCACGCACGGAGCGTGTCACCTTGGCCAAAGGCATACACGCGCCACCTAGGGACA